AGCCGTTTAAATAGGCAAAGGCTGTTGGACGAGGACCAGCCTTCCAGAAGTTGGTGCTGAGTTTCCGATGTGGAGAAACCGGCGTTGTGAAGTCCCTAGGTCTTTATAAGTTGTAGAAATGTAGGTGTATAGATGCGGTAGAGATAAAAGTTGAAAGAAGAACCGTCCTGCCTTGGGATTAGTAGCTTAACCTGCAGAGCCTCGAGATTAGCAGCATGAAACCTGGAGAAGCCCGAAAGCGAGTCAGATATGATACCCGTTAAGAAGGCACATAAGTGATTTCTAACTGCGCGCCGCGTTGAGCTGAGTCCAGAAATGCTGGTTTTATAGGCAGTAGCTAAGTGAGCTCCTAAAGCGAATGAGTTAAGCGATTTGGCAAGATCCATGGCGGCCAGATCCAGATCAATATGCTAGTTACCTTAGCTGGCGAATTTTAAAATGTCGTTAAAAGCTCGTATTGTATTCGTTTACGAATTGAAAATCTAGCGAGGCTAATTTTGGAGTAACCGTTAGTTCAGCGAGTTTCTGACTCGCGTCAAAGCTCGCCTACCCTGCAGGGAAGCTAGAAACAAATTGCGCTGTAAGTGCTCAGAGGATGTTTCAAAATTTCTCAGAAATTCTTTGAGGCCCCGAGCCGCGATGGGCAGGTCGACCAGGTCAACCCAACCCAACCCAACCCAACCTTGTTGGGTCGCAACACGTTGTTAAGTTGGCGAGGACTTGGTGTACTACGAAATGGTCATCGTGTTTCTTGTGTACACATGATGCCCGTTTGGCCCACTCCCGGTTGCCTTGTGAAGGGGGCTTATAAGCTGTAACGTGTATTTCACATAAGTTTCGTCGATTCGCAGCTAGCAAAAAAGGATTCGTCAGGTGCTTATAAAAATTTTGTAACCTATCCGTTGACATTTTGACTTCAGTCTCTTCAGTTTGACTTCGGTCTGTTCGCTTTGACGTGCTTGTAACGTGCGTGCAACTGGCTGGGGAAAAAACCTCGGGTGCAGGGTTTCCATCTGGTGCAGGGCAAATTCGCGTGCACGGGTTGGGCATCATGTGTACTGTACTGCACACAAGACGCATGTGTACAGTAAAAGGGGCACCAACGTTACCTTGCACAAGTTCATCTGGTTTGTGGTCATTTGCTTGTGCTCAGAGCGACAGCTCTGTTCACATTTGTACTGTATGGTGTACCATCTCCCTTGGTGAACAGAGCTGTTGCTCCGTCTGGACGAATATGGAGGCCAGGTCGAAAACCCCCAGAATGTGATAGGGTGGGGCCTATACTTAGTAGAAAACTCGGGTTTCTGGTCAGATTGCGCCCCACTCTAAGATGATTGTTTCACAAGTACGACACTTCTTCGTCCAACGTTTAGCGAACGGTTAGCCGACAGCCTAAAACACTAACGGCACTACGGAACCGATGCGTGTTTGTGGTGGTTGTGGTTGGAGAAGGAAGAAGCCGATGCGTGTAACACAATTGAAGCAGAAATGATGATGACGTTGGTTAGTGTACATGGGGCAACAAACGCGTGCACTGTACAGTCCGCCTCACTCCGCGTGTGCACGCGCAATCTGGGGTGGACTGTGTATGCGCTGTCCCGATTGGTCAGCCTGATATCACTTCGGTGTAGAATGGGTTCATTCTGTCTCACACAAAACCTTGTTACCGCACCCTTTCTTGCCAGAGTTAAGTGCGGTTGAATACGGTGTGATATGTTATATATATATTCTCTACATAAATAGGGAATACGAACTTTTGCGGCGCGCCCTCGCAGGGCCCACGTCCGAGCATTCTCGAATCTCGAACCCGCAAAGACGGTTACGCCCTGTCCCTCGCTAGTATGGCTTCGGTTTTAAGAACAGGCGGTGCTGAACAGCATGGTTTAGAGTGTTTAGAGACGGTTTGGTATGGCTAAATTAGACAAATCGGATAGCACAAAAAGCAACCTGCCTGATACTGTACTTCCGCGTCAGGAGGTCGAGAAAGTGGCCACCTAAACCAGCGCGTGGCAGGGCTGACTATTCAAAAAAATCCAGTCTGATGTTTTGGGGGCTCTGAAATTTTTTAGTCTGAGGCATATTTCCCAGAGAATGGCTACTCTGATTTTTCAGGTTCCGCAAAAACACAAGTCTGAAGTACTCATAACACACTACAACCACTGCAGTACAGTACTGCCACGAATGTAGCACGTGGGGCGCAGCGCTAACCGACTTTGCTGCGCCAGCACAGAGTTTCCCTCGCTGACACCGGGTAGCTGCAGTGATGGTCCCTCGTGAGTGAAAGAGCGAGCCAAGTTGGCAGATTTCTAAAGGAAAATGGTGGCAAAAATAGCCAAGGACAGATTCTGCGCGTGACAGCGCCATGAAGTGTGTTCGTACACTGGCAACATATGACGTACGGTAGCGGAATGTACGTAGAAATTACAGATCCACATTTCAGGATCCGTACTCCCTGTAGTATGAAGACCCATTATCGGTTAAGTCAGTAGTCTGAAAATCTCAGGATCCAAAACCAGGTAAGTCTGAGGTACTCATGTTTGAAAATCTTACAAGTCTGAAAAATCAGGATCCGTAGGAAAATACCCTGAGATTTCAGACAATCAGACTATTTTAGTCTGATAAAGTCAGCCCTGGCGCGTGGCCTGGGATTCAACGCACCAACCGATCCGCACCCTCGCCGCTCCCTCCCCCTCTCACTTACCCCCTTCCCTTCATTATTTTTAGGATGAAATACTATTTTAGTACCTGTCAGTGATAATCCTTGCTGTCTCTAGCCATGGCGAAGATTCTCAATTCTCTGTTTGTTTTCTCGGTGTTCATACTCGTCTGCCCCTTGATGTTCCCACCCGCATTCGCCGGCCCGGTGTGCCGTGTCGCTCGCACGCGACAGGCACATGACGAGTTTCTCCGTCAGCGACAGCTGAGCGGCGATGAGCGGCGAAAGCTGATTCACGTCGCCGACCGGCGCGACTCTCAAGCTCCGCTGCACATTCTCGAAACGAAGTCCAGCTTCTACAAGCGCCGCGAGAAAAGACGCAACCAGGCCGGACTCATGGCGGACACTGTCCTTCCCATCGCGTATAACGGCGGTCCCGTGATGAACGGCTCGACGATCAATGTTTACCTTATCTACTACGGCACATGGCCCGCGAAATCGGGGCAGAATATTATCGAGAACTTCATTCCATCGCTGAGTCTGTCAAGCGCCGACTCGCAGGGTGTGACTGGGGATCCGAAAGTGGGTCTATGGTGGGCGACCACAACGAAATACTACGGGCAAGAATCTGATGGTTCAAAGGCTTTTGTCGGCTCGGAGGTGTGTCATTGTTCTTCACAAGATGTAAATTGCTGAGGTCCTTTGCCGCGGTTTCCATAAAAGTGTCCATTCCCTTCCTTCACCTGGCAGGTGAAGCTCGCAGGGGTAACCCGCGACAAAGGGTCAATGGGGAAGAGATTTGCAGGCAACACTCCCTTGAAAAGTAAGTGTGCTTTCCTTTCGCCGGTAGTGTGTAACCCATTTTTCTTGCGGGCTTTAATACGTTATGCATATTGTGACCTTCATTAAATCATCTACTATTGTTTTGCAGTTGTTAAGAGCAAGATTGGGCCCAAAAAGCCGTTCCCCTACGACGCAAATGGCATCTACCTCGTTATCACCAGCAAGGAGGTGAAAGTTTCTGACTTCTGCGTAAAAAACTGCGGGTGGCATTCGATGGGCCACTATCTCGAGAACCCACTCGTGTATGGCCTCATCGGTCATCACGATAGGTGCCCAAGCCTCTGCGGCCCGGTGCATCGGTATTCGCCCAACGGAAAACCCGCTATTGACGCGATGATTTCCACGATTGCTCACGAGATCGCGGAAGCTGCGTCCGATCTCGACGCGGTCTCGGGCTGGTTCGACTCTGACCAACAAGAAAACGCCGATAAGTGCGCCTATAACTTCGGAGATTATCTATACCATCGCGGAAAAGGCAAGTGCCAAAAAAAACTTTAAAATGGCTCGTTTGTAACTTTGCAGTTGCATTCGCCACGCAAAAAAAAAGTTTGACTCGACAACAGTAGTAGCGTTAGTAACTGCAACCGTCACCTTTCCGTCACTTTCTGTCAACACGGTGTGCAGATTCCCGCATCCAGCACGCAAGTGTCCGGGCGACTTTATAAATGGCATACAGTAACCCCCCACGTAACTCACACAATCACGATAACGTTGCTCCGCCACCACCCATCACACATACCTCCCAGCAACCAAAACATGCGGGGACGTACACGTGCCCACGTGTACGTCAATTACACCCGTACCTGCGACGTAAGCGTACACCGCCAAGACTTGCCGAACCTACCACAGCCGCGCGATTTCGCACCACAACACCAAATCGGCACCGTTCACGTGTAATGTGCTCCACAAGTCGCCCTACAAGTTACACTTTCGCCAGCCCGCACAGTTGCATTGATTTGGGACTACAGTCCACATCCAGGCCGTCCATTTCTCGAGCGTTGAATGCCGCGCACCACTGCGAACCCGCCACGTGCAACCCACTCCGTGACTCGACACAGAACACCCACGCGCCTTCTCATAACCCGCATGTCCCACATGTCTTCATCACCCGTCATCGTACTACGTGTAACACCATCTCGCAGTGACCTCGCGTGCGTCGCCCATCCACTTGTATACGTGCATCCTCCTCACCCAACACTCGAGCAACAACTCAAAGGCCGCCACGTATCGCAGACACTTTAGGGAAATCGCCCCTGCAATCGCTTATGCGTGCGCCTACAAGCCACACGGCTCCTACGCGTCGCACCACCTCGTTCCGACCGCTCAGGGAGGATGCCCATCACCCAAAAACCACCGTCGTGCACGTGTCGCCCTGTCGCCCTATCGCACCGCGTGTAACATCGTCGCCTGCACCACACTTCCTGCGTCGCACAAATCGCGGCATCAGGAGAGGCGTCCACGGTGGATAGAAACGAACCAACATTACAACGACACGCGTCACCTATACACCTGTCACAAACGCCACCTTTTTCCAACACGCCAACTGCGTGCCGACACCTGCACTCATCATCTACCGCATATGGTGCCTCGTCAACCTTTTGCGCCAATCACGGCAACCCGCGTGTTGCTCTCTGGATGGCCGGATCCGGCAATCATTGCCCGATCAGGTACTCTCCGACTACCGCAAAGGGCATCCCGTCGCGGTCATTTGACCAGTTGCTCAGCACCAGATCTGTCGTACACACCGCGGATAGAATGGTGGGGTTTAAAGACTAAAACCACAAAAGCATCCCTCACCAATGTCTAAAAGCACCAGAACACCGCTTACCGCTCTCCTCCGCACCGAGCCCAATGCGCTCCCGAATCTGCTCCAGCGAGCGTGCGTTGTCCCTTGCCCACGGGCTTGCCTCGTCGCGCTCATCACAGAAGAATCCAAGCTTAGGGAGCGCAATGTCCCGGACCCGTCCGGCAGCCCTTGTCTTCCACTCGCTTAGCATCTTGTTAAGGTCAGCATGGCGGGACTTGTCCGCGGCAAGCGCAAGGCACGCGAAGCTATGCGGCAGGCGGTCAATCACTGCGCAAACGCCATAAGTCTTGTCGTCAGAGCTCGGATAGAAAGTCATGGTTGCGGCCGGCTTCTTCAAGAACAGCTGCACTCGGACCAGCTCGCATAGGCGCTGCACACAAGTCAGGTACCATGGGAAATTGTGAATGAGTACAATGCTCCACAACAGTCCATCGCACGGCAGAAAGCGCACGCTCCGAAAGTAATGTTACACGTTTGGTAGCACATCCCACCTTCCAAGCCTTGTCGGCCGACAGCAGATCAAGTGCGCGCTGCAGAACAGGCGACTTCGCAGAGCGCATGTGCTTCCGACGCGTGCGAATCTGTGCCATGTCCTCGTAGTCGTCGTCCTCCTCCTTATCGTCATCCTCCTCAACGTCTGCCACTGCCTCGCCGCGACGCTGGCGCTTTGGGTTCATGCATCCCTGCCCGGGATCCCTCTGCCGCTCCGCCTTGCGCCGACGGGACCCCCCATCGGACTTCGCCAGCGCCTCCAAAAGCAGAGTTTCCAAGCGGGCCACCTTCTGCGCGCTCTCGTCCTGCGACTTAAGCAGGCTCCTGAATACTCCCGCGGAAACGCGCACCTCCTCGCCATGCGTGTCCACAGCATCGTTCTCGCGGTACGCGTTGGTTTCGAACATCGTGCGCATCGCGTCACCCACATCCTCATCATCCTCCTTCTACGTCCTCGCCTCGATTCCGGTTCGCCAGACGAGGAGCAGCGTCGCTCTTGGAACGCGAATCGGGCGAGTCACTCACCAGCGCTTGTTTGCCGACCCTGCCGGTAGAAGCGTCCGATGTCTCACCCCCAGTATTATCTGTAGACGTGGGAATGTAGGCGGAGGAGACAGTTAAATCCGGGCAACACAAGCTCCAAGGCGGAAGTAGGGGGAAAGACAACACTTTCTTAATCAAAACGGCCACAAAACGCTAAAGCAGCGTCATACATTCCGTACAACCAGCACATCAAACCGTCATTACCGTCACGAATTGCTTTCCCGCCAGCATCCGCTCTGGTAATGGCCAAACGCTTTGGCAAGGCCGTTCCGCGAGTCCCCCATGGCATGCGCCCACGAGGAGTTGCAAGCTGATATGCCGCGCGCAGGTACGCCGGGGGCTGGGACACTCGCCGTGCACGCCCCGCGTTGCCAGTATCTTCAGAAGCAACGGAAGTCTCCATTGTTAACGACTGACATTGTTTGCGTGCACGGCACGCAAGCCTAAGTACTCGGATTGACCTTGCAAAGTATACGGTAACGCGTAAACCTTGCTCAACAACGTCCACAACCATCGAGCGAAACCGTTGCCGCCCATCAGGATAAACGCAATCAACGACATCCACTGATCACCGTCAACTTTCATCCGACCACCCGTACTCTCGATACCATTTCCGAGTCCTGCTACAATAGTTCCTTCTCTTGCTAGCTATTTCATACCAATTAAACATTCAACAGAGGAAACAACACAGTATCAAACTATTAATGACACACTATATTTAAAGTACAAACCACACATGCGTACATGCATCCTCCAGGGAAGCCTTCTCTACCCCATGATCCACTCTCATTTCCCACTGATATCCCAAGCACCATCCTTCTGCCTCCCACGACCAGTTTCATCTGTCTTGTCCTCGAAGGACTTTGCCTCTGCACCGCGGGCCATCTTACGCGCCCTGCTGTTTTCTGCTTCGTGGGCAACGATTACGGTGTCCTCACTGCCAGCCTTCTCGCCTTCACCCTCCCCTGCCGTGCCCCCACCCTGATCACCACTCCCCTTGCGCGGTCTCCCCCTCTTTGCACGCTTTGCATTCTTCTTTGTGCGCGCTGCCTTCCGCATCAGACCTTCGTAAGTCTCCCTCCATACCCTCCAGCACCACCACATGCGGGCATCCACCATTACTTTCAGGATTTCGGGAGTGCACCCCTTCAAAGCTGCCTTATCAGCCGGTGTTAAAGCCACAGAGTTCCGGGTGCCTTTACCAGGCCTCAGCACGTGGGCAGCTGCCACGTAGCAATACGCTGCCTCCTCTATCGTGGTGTACGCGCCGACTCTCTTCGTTATCTTCTTCCCCTCCTTGTCCTTTGCGACGACCTTCACCCCATACTTGCCTGTATCGGCCTCCACATAGACCCCTGTGTACTTGGTCGGCTTTGTTCCTAGCTCGTTCTCGCCCTCTCCATCTTCCTCCGAATCCTCTCCTCCCGCCAATGTCTCCTGCTTAGGTACAGCTATGAAGCCGTGGTGTGCGCCCGCACCGCTCTGCGCCATCCCGTACACCGGATAGGATGGCTGGACTAGTGAAACCGCAGCTGCCTGCTGCCGTGACAACAGCCAGTGTGGAACCGTCCCGGGGATTGGCAGAGGTGCCGGGAAACAGGGGTACGCACCAACGGCCGACGTGAATTTGCTGGCGAGCGACACTCTCGTGTTCGAGCCCATCATATCCTCGTCTGGGCTGTCTTTCACCTGCTTCGTGTAGCCTGATGGCCGCATTGGAGTGTGCGGTCCGTGCTTGCGCCCATCCGTACCCCTCGATCCCTACACAGCGACGCCAGTTTGCTGCAGCATGTTTTCGCCTGCTGAGATCAACTGCTCCCTCGACATCCCAAGCACACTACCAATTGCGGCGAATCCTGCAGTCATCGCACCGACCTCGCGCTTTAACGAGCACACCTTCGCCTCGAGCTGGTCTATACGATGTTCTTCTTTCTCACGTCCTTCCGTCGCACCCTCCCTCAAAGTCATGTTGGTGGTCAAGCCGCTTTGCTGAGAAGGAACATCCAAGCCATCCTCCTCTAGCTTCCGGAGCAACTCTCCCATAGCGTGTGCGCATAAATCAGCGCGCATGATGCGGCGGTAATGCAGCGCGCTGACCCCCTTGAACCACAGGCCACTCTTCACGTTGGCGAAGTCGGAGTAGACCAAAGTTTTCAAGTAGTGGCAAACAAAGACTCCACAGTCATGACCGTTCTCTTGCTTGGGGATGTGGTTCTCCTGCGCGCAAAGAAACCGCACACCTGGTGGTCACTTCTCACATTTGTGTAACAACATCTGTCCACCAAAAAAACCAGGAAAGTCACACTTACGGTGAGGACATGGCAGGGAACGTCCTTCAGCAGCTGTTCAAAGTTCGCCATGTCTACATGTGGATGAGTCTCCCTGGCCATGGTTGACAACACCCTGCGGAACATCTCGGAGAACACAACCCGGTTACACCCACGCATGTGCAAATAACAACTGAAGTACCACTACTAAAGCAAACACTTACACCTTCACGCCAATGAAAACCTTCTGTGTACTCATGGGGGCCCTGGAGCTGTCGAACAACACCATTTCCAGTGGCGGGCTATCCTTCCTTGTCCTCTTATCCACCAGCCGGTGGGGTGATATGACTATCACCATTGAGTAGTGCTCTCTACAGGGAGGCATGCGGTAGGAAAGGACGGTGTTTAGTCACGCGCATAAAGAATGCATGCACCCTACGGCTCTTGTTGAACAAGTCAAGTGGCTCGATAATTACCCCCTGTAGACAGGGACCGCAAGGTAGTCGTGCTCAAGGAGCGGCAGGCCGTTTCCAGCATTGAGTGGCGTGTTGTGAGCAGTGGTGTTCGCAAAAGTGTTGCAATCGAGCGCCGCCCATGTCTTCCCGTTTGACAGCTTCGGCACACGGATGCTTAGAAGCCTGAAAGCACATGACGGACACGTGGGTGTTTTGGCGGAACAGGGGGGCATCAGATCATGCTGATGCGAAGTCTATCACCACATACACGACGCGCAGGTAGCGCGTCGGCAGCGTTACTCACACGTTGTGAAAGTCGACCACTCCGTCTGTCAACCATGTGTTGTCCGCGATGGAGGCGAGGTCCTTCTTGTCGACTGTGCTGACCACGGCCCGATGATTCGTTAGCTCCATGTTGCGATATTCGACTTTGTAATAATTCTTCTCCAACGCCGCCACCAGATCGTCGGGCTGAGGGAGTTCAGCAGGTGCGCTTACGGTCGCGTCAACATCTTCCATAATCTCTTCCTCCTCATCCTCCGCCGTCATACTTTGCTTTTTTTTGTTCGTGCTGGCGGTCCTTCCCTTACGCGTGCGTGTCGCACCTACTTCTCTAACTTCGGCCTCCGAGTAATCGCTCGTTTCTTGGTTCCGGCTTAGCGCTTTTTTGGGAGGCATGGTCGACGCGAGATTAGTTGACGGAAGGGATCTCTAAATCAGGTGTTCTCTCTCCCGGACACGGTGGAAACAGTTCACTAAAACCGTTAGGGTTCTGGTGCGAGCGAATTCTCGTCATCGCTATAGTCTATGGCAAGAAGGCAGCAAAAGTAGTCACATCACCCCCCAACGGATGCCAGATCTACAGTTGGGTTACACGATGTTCGCGCATCATGTGACAGTTCACCGAGATGATGACACCTGTGCGCCACAGAATTCTCCAGAATAGCTGGATGGGTGCATATCAGTGCACCGTAACCAGCTTGACATGCAGGGAGGCTGAAAATAACGGGGGTGAGTGTACGAGGGTTGTTAGATCATGCATACTAAATTCGAGTTTGTGTTCAGCGCTATTTCGTATGCTTTTCTGTTGAGCTGGCATCCTCCTTTGTTTCTGACTGTGCAGACCGAAAATGTAACATCGTTGTACAATCGCGTACATTCGGTTCGGCACCTAAGCTATGAAGGAGGCACGTCCGAACACGGATTGCCTAGATACAGCTTTGGCCTAGGTGTAAACGATGGGCCAATTGGCAAGTTTAGGGCGGGTCAAACATTGTACATGTACGGAAAATTTTCAGGTCAGTTACCAGAAGTAAGCATGTAACATAACTTTTTACGTACGAAATCAGTTTGACGCGAGACTGTACATAAATGAGCTCATTTCGGAAACGTGCACCGGGACGTGTGTAACACATCCGAAGGTTCGTCTCACAAATCGCTTCCCGTCAAAGTCGTCAAACAGTAACGCCCCTTTTTCGCCAACACCATTTCGCCATGATATTATCCCTTGCGCCTTAGATGCGGAAACCCTCGCAACAGTTGGTAACGCCCTTTCCAGGTGATGTGCCTCGCAACGATCATGTACCTCGTCAAAAATCCGCACTGTACACTCCGAACTGGACAGGAAACCTTAGTACTACGCCCTGGGGTGCAGTCAAATTTGACATGTGTGTTGACGTAAAAATAACGACAACATTGGGAGTGTGCAAAGTTGGACCCGCCCTTAGCAGTAACCAAACTATGCCGCATGGGAAAGCATTTGTTGACGCGTACTCTATCGAGTACGAGCACATATACGCGGCATGTACAGGCGCGTTTCTCCTAGTAATGGTGACAGCGGAAGCCTGTTTGTGAACGGTACTAATAGTGGGTTGATCATGGTTGTTTATGTTTACAAGCGAATGTATGAGAGAACATTCATTTGGATATGCATGAGTTATGAATGCAGTGTTGGTGTGATTCAACGGTCGTGGCGTTCATTTAACTTATTGCTGTTGGTATTGTATCATCAGAACATCAGGGTGTAGTCCTTACTAGTGGTCCTATTTGTGCAATCGAAACACACACTCTTCAAAGGTTGACGCTCACTCTCGATGAGGTTATGAAAACAGCCTACCTAACCGTTTGTTGGTGGTCGGATTA